AATGTATATTTGAATGTGTTGGTTTAATTAACATGGCGACTTCGGGGACTGCGGGAGCAGCTATTTGATGACGTATATTCACAGGCAGCGCAAGCCCACTACTATAAAAGCACCATTTTGTCAGAAAAAAAAAAAACAGTACTGGCACTCCTCTCCATGCTGGCATCCAAATTACGAACAAAGAAGACGCTATCAAATCTACATTTGCTGTACATAAGGTTAAAAATGAACTTTCGTTTCAATAAGCAAGTACCGGCCTTGATGCAAAACATAGGCAACTGCTTCGAATTGTATGAAATAATAAACCTACCCGAGGGAACTCAATTCAGCGATAAGGGTATTACTTAAGCTGCCTGTCGATTTGCTGTTGTGCTTTTCAGCAGTTTCTTCAGCTTTGCCTTTTTGCAGCGGGTTTTTTCTTTGCCAATTTTGCCCGTTACTCAATGTTCAACACCTTCCGACACTTGCACCAACGAATTGAAGAACACAAAGGATCGGCAATCAGACACCACCTCAGAGAGCAGCACGACATGGAGCCAGAAGACATCAAAAAGAGTTTTCGAATCTTAAGGAAGTGTCAGAACAAATTTGACTGTCTTGTTTTTGAAATGTTTTTATCAAAGAACTGAAACCAACACTAAGCAATCAGTGCGATTCAATTCGCGCCAAACTATTTGTTTGGAACAATTCGTTTTACGATTATTTTATTCTTTTATTCCTTTATTCTTTTATTCCATTGTATATTGTTTACTCTTTTTCACATATTTTAGTGTTCGCCACATTTTATCGTCTTCAACTTGCTTCAACATATCTATGATGATTTGGAAAACTTACTCACTTGAAAATGACCTCAGAGAGGTCGAAACGTCGTGACTTCTTAGTGCTCGCTTTTATTTCAAAGTCAACAGAATGAGATGAAAAAAACATCACTACTCTCTGATACTTTTCCTGGAAAAATCTTGATGCATTGTTATCGATGCCAGGAGGTCCCGTTTTACCACTGGTTAAGGGTTTCAGGAGGTGAGATAATCTGTTGGTGCGAAACTAGTTGTCTACAAACCTTTAGGAGCTAAAATCTTGCATTTGATTTTGAGAGGAATACATCCACTTTGAGTGAATTTATAGGGTAATTAGATTTGACCGATTTGCATGAAATTTTGCCAAAACATTCCAGGGATAATTTTGAACGAAACTCTGTCAGGAAATTTTGATATTTGAAATACTTTTCACATTGTGTCCATTTACGCAACATGTTTCACATATTTTACGCTACTTTAACTTTAGATGCCGATTTCTAGACAACCAATCAGAATATCGGAAAAGCCTGACACATTTGTTGATAGATGCCTTGTGAATAAGACTGTGCAGCCATTTTGCTCGTGCTGCAGGATCTGATACCCGATAAATTCAATAGAAGGAACCTAGGTCGTTTCAAGCCTTACCGGCTCCTGATACTCCCTAAATGAAAAAATCACCTACATTATATTTTTATTGTAAACTGCATTTAGTAAGCTTTCTTTTGATGTATAGTTTGGTGGGGTTTTCTTGAAATTAGTGCGTGCATGAATTTTTTCCTGAAGGACACTCGTGAAGGTGGGAAGTAACCTTAAGTGGCCAGGTGTTCTGAAGTTTAGCCCAGAGGGAGTTTGGCCCAGAGTTTTTCCCATTAATAAAAGTTTATCAAAGTACATGTCATTGCACAGAGTGCAATGACATCATGTTTGCAATTTAAAACAATTTAATATGTAGTTATCAAATCACTGTTGTTACCAATCTTAAAAGACAACAATCTCAAGTTATTTTTTTGTCCTGTACTGCTGTATGTGATGCTAGGTACCCAGTTATTATTGTAAGTACTGTAAAGAGAGACTCGTTGAATTCTAGGGCTTTCTCTTTCATCAAAAACTCAATCTGAAGTTGATAGGTCTGAAGCATTCAGTGGGAAATTGTACATGTAGAAGCAAATTCTCACACATGGTAATTTGGGTTTTATCAACTGAGTTGATAAAAATGTAATTTGGCCACCTTAAAGAGTTTCAAAGCTGAGGTTTCAAATGTTAGTCCTTCATCAGAGCAAAACTTGCATTGTCAGCAAATCAACACAAACATAAACTACCTTGTAGGGAGGACAGTTTCATTCATGACAATTCTAAAAGTAATTAGTATAATTTCAGAGCTGGACAAAGAGTTTCCCGCAATCTGATTGGTTGAGCGGTTCCTTATATGACGCTATATAAACCGCTCCGTGTGGTTTATATAAAATGTTAATAAATGTTACTAAAATGTTATGATTTTAGAAATTTCTCTGTTGTTCAGCTTTGAAATTATACTAAAATAATTATTCGCATCAGGTTCAATGAATGATATTCACCTCGCCTTCGGCGAATAATTGTTAAATGCAAAAAGTCAGAACATTAAAGCAAAAATCCTTTACGAGAAAGCAGTCTCAGGAATTTGATGCCATCAAGAAAATTTTATCCCAGACATTCAAAGAAAGATGAAAGTGGCGAGGTTCATTTAGAAGCTAAGACAAACACATTTTTGTTGAGGTGAATAACAGTGTATTTCAATAACTTTTACATCAGTCAAATGGTACAATTAGATGGATGGAAAAAAATAATTTGTAACATTCCATTACCCATGAAGTGAGGAATATAATATGACAAAGAAGCTGCAAGTGGCTTTGAAAATTCCTTCAACTGACCAATGCATTCTTGAATTAAGTAGAGATTTGTAAAGGAAAAAGTCTTCCTTTCAGAATTTGTCTTTGGAATGCTTTTCTTGAATCCTTTTACTCGATGCAAGAAATAAATGTACATCTGAAGTTCTCCTTCATGCTTATAAACTTGTACAACCAACAAAGACTTGGAAATATGAAACTGTAGAATAAAAGTATCTGTTAAAGATTCACAGCACTAAATAAACAGTCTCAAAGTGAGTTAAAGCTAAGACCTCTTGGTATTTGCAGCATACAGGATTGAATGGATTGTATGAAACCTGATGGGAATGACTGCCAATGGCCTATTGGTGTTGCTATCTACACTTGCTTGTGTGGTGGTATAGCCCCTTTAAAATTAAGTTCCTTTCCATGAATATAGAAATCACACCTAGTGTTTTCAAGAGGTTTAAACATCTGTTCAGTGAGTTATGTGTTCATCTAAGGAAAACTGTTTACCACTGCAGCATTTTGCAGCAGTAAGTTTTTAGTTTCATTTTCCTGTCGAAGACTTAGAAAGCAACAAGCTATTGAAAACTAAAAATTCAAATATTTTACTTACATGGGTACATTTAGTTTCAAATAAGTGGACATTTTTTAGGGCCACACTGAATCAAGGAAGTTTTAACTCAGTGATATGTATGCCAAGTTTGTTCATATCTTATGTTGTTTTTCATTGCCGTGATATTTTTCAAAATTATGCAATTTTTATTTTTTTAGTTGTTAACATGAGTGGAGGGCTAGCACCAAGCAAATCTACAATATATGTTGGAAACCTACCTTATTCCCTCACCAACAATGACTTGCACAAGGTAACTGACACAACTAGTCATAAAATGTACTTGTGCCTTAAAGTTTCCGAAGCAGTTCTGATAATAATTCTTTATTTTGAATGTTTTTGTCCTGTTGCCAGATATTTGAAAAGTATGGAAAAGTTGTAAAGTAAGTATTTAGAACTGTATGACTACAATTAACAATTATTGTCACTCATGCTGGTTGAATAATGAGTACTTTTCATAGTTAGTGTGTAAAATGTTGGCTTTATTCTTTGAAAACTGATTACTGTACATTTGATGCAAAAAGTTACAATTGTTTTATTGGTTTTTTTTTTTTTTTAGGGTGACAATTCTTAGAGACAAGGAGACGAGAGAGAGCAAAGGAGTGGCATTTGTGTTGTTCTTGGATCGGCAGTCAGCACACAAGGCAGTAGCAGCAGTCAACAAGAAACAGGTACATTAATTTATTTACTAGCTAATTAATCCTTCACACCATGTCATCAGATAGCATAATTATTCTCCATACAATTCTCTATACATTTCCTAAGGTGCTGACAAGAAGAATTTGTAGAACAATCAAGAGCTTTTTTACTTTATGATTATTTTCAGTATTCTCATGACCTTAGTGTTTGATTCTGAGAGCTGTTTACTTCTGAGTGTGTCATTGTGAACTGTGGGTTTCTGCTAGAAACTTAAGCATGCTGTTGTGGAGATCTATTGTATTTTGTTGTTTGTTGTTCAG